CGTCCCTAATTTAGCAGTGTAAGATTAGAGGAAAGGCATCTAGTCATCACCACCCACCGCCAACGCTTGGGGTATTCTTTTACCAACGAATAGTGGGATTGACCGTCACATTATAACGCCCCCACGGCTGAAAGGGCGAGCATGTTTGGTGTGACGGAGATTCGAACCCGCGACCCACAGATTACGTGTCGAGAGCCCTAACCACCTGGCCATGCCGTGCCTTTTCTACGTGTATATAAGCAATAAAAATATCAATGTATATACGTGGTTTTGGCGATAACACTGATATTTTCAAATGGAGCGACACCTTATACCAACACGTGGGCTAAACTGCCAAGCCAGAGATCCCTAAGGATTAGGCATAGTCATCCCTAAGTTAGAACTGCTGAACAAATTGATGACAATCACACACCGCATACGCGATTATTCTCATAATAGCAGGATTGACTGTCACAATTATAATTCCTCAAAACTGGAAAAATGGAGTATGTTCAATGGTATATTGCGGCCTGAGCCTTGGACCTTCAGATCCGCAGCCCAGTATGCCCATATTCTGGCATTATGTGAATAAGCATTATCAAACTCTAATTCTCGAACATATAAATTTGTTATTTCAAGTATACTACAAAAAGAAAATTATAAGAAACACAGAATTAAAGCGTATTATAACTGTAGTTTACTTACTTTGCAAAAAGAAATCCAAATATGTGAACAGATATTCTCCCATCTGACCAGCTCTCTAGTGACTTAGCAGTAAGTCTGTAGGCTTATGACGTTAAAATTCGGGTATCCATACCCGTGGTGGGCAGAGCACAGATAGTCCACTGTATAATTTTGCGCTTAACGACCAACTGACCAACCTTAGAGGCATTATAATAGCTTATGTGGGAATCGATAATAGGTGTAATTCATTAAGGATAAAGCGCATAAACATATTTTTTGTTTTGTCAGATGAGGCACAGTATGAAGTTAATGTAACCATGCCAGCGTTCTTCATGGACACCAATGACTACATACACGGCTCCGTTATTGCAAAGTAAGTACTTCATATCACCCACGACCATTAAACAATTAATTATGATGCTCAACAATTGAAACCCTCGCACCCAAAAGACTGCTAATATTAAAACGATTTCTTTTGCTCTGAATATTTTTCTATATTATTAATATATAGTACATATATTACTTTCTAAATATTGTATTTGCTTTATCATCTAATCATTGCTGTGGTTGTTACAAACGTCCTTCATTTTACGTGTGCTATAAAAATATTCAGATTCGTACTTAATATTTAATTTTCTAGTTTTTAACTATTTGACTTTATTTTTAAACCACTGTTTTTAATATTGTTTTAATAGTTTAAGTTTGTTTTAATAGTTACTCAAGAGGATCCTCTGTGTCGGGAAACCTGAGCTTAACAGCGAAAGTGGAGCCGTTAGACAAAAGTCGAAGTAATTTTAAGAGTCTAATACAGCCAACACAGCTTGAACAAACTCTTGATGTTGTACGTGTTGTCTTTTCTGGTGATGATAAATACTGTTTGAAGCCATGTAAACTAGAATATCATTAGTATACATTCATATAATACTCAGAACAATTTGATTTTAAAGAAAATGGCTAATCATCAATGTGTTATACTCAGAGTTTCTTGTAACATTCTTACATGCTCAAGATGTATATTTATTTAGCTTAAAAGCAATGTTGTCTTTTTACATTTCAATTTGGGGATAATTTATATACTACTTCTAAAAAACAATAACATTAAAACTTTTATCTTTTACATATTAATAACTTTCAGAAATGATTTTATTTTAATTTTGAAGTTTTCAGTGTATTTAAAATATTTCATGGGTAATCAAGGACAAGAGATAATAACAATCTTGTCAAGATGTCAATATTTTATCTTGTTTTTTGTCCGTTGTATGGTTACATAATTCTTAGGGCTGGGCCATCGCTGAACGTGCTCGCTCTTTCAGTCGTGAGGCCGTTATAATTTGACGGTCAGTACAACTATTTGTTGGTAAAAGAGTAGCCTAAGAGTTGGCGGTGGGTAGTGTTGACTAGCTGCCTCCTCTCTAGTCACTGTAGCTTTGCGCGTAATTCAAACCAAACCAAACTTTCATTTTCGCGAACAGTTGCCGCAAAATCACACTCCATACTATGCGTTATAAGAGTGACGACCAAATCCTATTATTCGATTAGAGTAGCCCAAAAGCTGGCAGTGGAAGCTGTTGAAGCTGCCTTCCCTCCTGTCTATCAGCTCACATTTAGGGATGGCTAGTGTAACTAACTCTTGGGTATCTTTAATCGAATATTTGAAACAAAACAAAAACAAATATAATTCTGTATAAATTCACAATATAAACTTACAAACTGCTGCCATGGATGTTTACATAGTGAGGTGGGGTTCGCGACCTCCCTACCCGCGACTGTTGTAGTAATATTTAAAATAGTGTAGATATTAAAGTTTTCTTTTTTATTTAGATAATTCCAATCGTTAACCTACACCACAAGAGTTAATACTGAAAATTCTGTTTATGTTTTGGGTTTGTTTCGAATTTCGCGCAAAGCTACACGAAGGCTATCTGCGCTATCTGTCCCTAATTTAGCAGTGAAAGACTAGAATGAAGGCAACCTTTCATCACCATCCACCGCCAACTTTTAGGCTACTATTTTACCAACGAAAAATCCTGTATGGAGAATTACAAAACGTAACTTTAGGGTAACTCTTCTAAACTTGTAACTATTTTATAAGTAAGATACATAAACAGATGTTACAGGCCATTTACTATTTTTTCAGTTTAAAGGTTTCACTACCTATCGGTTCAATATGCGAGAATTGGCTGAGCTTGTTTCCAAGCTAGATGGATCTAAAGTTAAGGTGACAGCTTGTGTAGGTGAACCCCTGTTAGATCGTGTGGAATGTGGATTCGCAGAAACAGTCATCTTTAACTCCAGCATCAAACTTCAGTTCCTTGGCTCTTTTCCTCAAGTTTTCAAACCAACCATGCCTTTCAAATCTTATGTAAGTTGTTTGATCAGTATAGATTTGTTCTTCAAAAGTTACATTTATCACAAACAACTCTTCATGTGTTTTTAAACTAACAGGTCACAAACAAAAATAAGGATCATTAAAAAGATTTATCAGTTTTGTTAAAGCTTGGAACTGTGTATAAATATACTTAGTTCGAGAAATATATAAATGTTGTATTTTGAAGTGAAAGTTAATTAACGTTATCAAAATATAGGAAACGTTATATTGGTTTATATACACCTAGTACTTTAGATTTTTTGCGGCATATGAAATTATCTCCATCAGACAAATGAATTACAGGATTCAGCCATAATATAAATACATCTCCTCTTCTGACAGGAACTTGGTGTCTCCCAAAACACTTCTTCAGTTCATATCACGTATTTCCAAGGTGCATAACGTTCATGCTTATTTTCCCGTTAACATTTCTCTGGTTAAAATGTCATGTACGTGTTTAAAACAGTAAATCTTAGAAATATATTTGAAAGCTTGTTCTAAACAATAACTTTTTTTCACCAGCTTGCTGTGTCTTACCATGACGGGTCAGCACTTCCACCATGGCGTTTGTCCAGTCAGAAACTGGATATCAGGCCTACACTGACCATGTTTAACGGAGGATCTCAAAAGTTAGACGTCAAGCACGAGCTTGTGTCGCCCGTGCGTCCTGGAGTCTGGGAGTTGGAGTTGGATCTATGGGTTGAATTAGGTGGAAAAACATTGCTAAACAATATCAAGTCCCTCCATTTAGAGGTAAGTCATCATTTGTTTATTTGTTTGTTTTGTTGGTAAGCGCAAAGCTACACGATGGGTTATTTGTGCTATGCCCACCACGGTTATCGAAACCCTATTTTTGGCGTCATAAGCCTTCAGACGTACCGCTGAGCCACTAGGATCGGTAAGTCATGATTCATTAAAGGTTTTTGTAATGGAAAAATAATTCAACAATAAAGGCACTAAGTTGAGTAGGTGTATCTACGAGTTGCATAAACGTTCTTCATTCTAATTATAACCACAACAGTTGTTATGTTATCTATATAAACTATATTCAGTTTCTTACATTAAGAGTTATTATTGCTGTGTTTTTACCTTTTGTGAGGTTAAACTTCAGCGTGACATTTCTATAAAATTAGCAATATATTCAAACATCAACAAAGTAAAATATGTATTACACTGTCATTCTAGTCGTATCGAACAAAACCAGATCAAATATTTATCTATCTATATATATATTCAACAAGATGAAATAATTTTAAGTTATATATTATACCCTTAACCTTTATATTTTGGTTTTGGAAGATAGTTCATATAAATGTTGCAGACAACTCAGAAAAAAAACTGTATTAAAACTTGTACAATACCGTATTAAAAATACAATAAATTAATGAAGAATTAATAGAAACAATCTCAACAGGTAGAGTTAATATTAAATGGTTTTAAACTTTAATGAGAGAGATTAGGGTAATATATTATATTAGAAAGTTGTACAGACTCAAAAACTAACATTTTATGTACAGTTAAATTTATTCTTTCAACTATCTGTTGCGATCATCTCATAATTTTGTTTTTGCTAACACTAAAGCAATTTCAACAAATACGATTGTATTTCTGTACTAGTAAGTTTCGTCTTTCAACTATCTGTTGCGATCATCTCATAATTTTGTTTTTGCTAACACTAAAGCAATTTCAACAAATACGATTGTATTTCTGTACTAGTAAGTTTCGTCTTTCAACTAGCTGTTGCGATCATTTCATAATTTTGTTTTTGCTAACACTAAAGCATTTTAAACAAATAGTATCTTTTTATTGAAGGCACATTACAAAGATGAGACAGGAGAGCGAGCAAAAGCTAACCTTCTTGTTTACGCCTCCTATTCTCCTACCGATCGCCACCTTCAGGTAATCACCAGCACTAAAAACCCAAAGGTAATTATCATTGAAAACCTATGCATTGTTACATTTCTCCTTGTTACTTAACGTATGTTTCTATTAAAGTCTTCTCTATTATGATTTTTTTCAGAATTCCCTATAATGTTTAAAGTTTGATGATTATACTTGTTTCTCTTCCTGAAAGTGAAATAAAACTTTACTGACGTAATCCTCTATAACTAACTTTTAATTCTCCAACTCTTATTTTATTGTTAAAATCAACGTTTTTTAAAATTACTATGTTAATATAAAAACATACACTACTACTTGTAGTTGTTGCTAACTTTCAGGGGAAAAAAACGTAAAAAAAATTAAATTTCTTATATAATATTTTACCTAAACAGGTGGGTGAATTCATTATACTTCACGTGAGAGCAAATTACTTTGTGGGGAACTTCTCATACGTGGTAAGTTATCTTGCAGAATTTTAAAGTAGATCTAATTGTAGTTTTTGTTCCAAAACATTTCCAATTGAATCCTTAGTTGTTGTTTATTTTTTCCTTTTTTTCATGGTCCACTGTATAGATTTATTTGAATGACAATAAGACTTTATAAAGAACAAATACCCAAATACGTGAGTATTTGTTATGATTACGTTAGACTTTGTTACATATCAATTTTGGTTGGCCACAGTGTATTTACTTTCAGTTTATATATCTTTAGTTTTGAAGTTAGTATTAAACTAAGAGTAGTATATAATTTAGACTTACCATGTTAAAACATACTTCTATGTGTCATGTATGTGTAGATTGTTTCCAAAGGAATCATCCTGTTGGCTGGACAGGAAGAAATGACGTCAAGTATTAAAACTTTTGCTGTAGCTCTCTCTCCGGAAATGACGCCCACTGCTACTATAGTGATTTACGATATAGCTCGAAAGGGCGTGGTCATTGCTGATAGCTTGACGTTTCCAGTTGACGGTTTCTCTAGGAATAATGTAAGATTTATTCTTTCCTTTGGACTAGACGACGCCTCAATTTGTTTATTCTTACCCAACTTAAAGCTAATTTAATTACAGATACTTACAAGAGATGCAAGAGGTTCTGCTCGGAAGTGTGGTCGTAATAATTTTAAAATTTTTGAATTATCACACTGACCTATTTTATGGGTTTAATCGAAGGAAACAGTTCGTGTTATCTTAGTGCAAGATTATTTATTTCATGCTACTGTTTAGCAGTTACTTATTCATTGAAAACGTATTCTTTTTTCTTTGTAACACCTAGGTTTTATATCTGTTGTACATGAGATAATGACACTGACTTCCACAAGCATTTGTTTGTGTCATAAGTTAATGTAAACATTCATCAATATACTCTCATGTATATACATATGTACAATAAAAGCATTCTCTTATACACACACACATTTCCATTCCTGTGTACATACGCATATTTATTACCATATGTACATTGATGACAGTTAGCTATTCACTCATTCATATTTACTGGTACATATATATATATATATACAGAATATTTGTCTATTCTCATACAATCGTTGTTACACTTGCATCCGTAAATCAATAAATCCATAAATGTTATATACATTTTAGAAATACGAGCCTAGATAGGAAAATATTGATAATGTAAAGGTTAATTGATAACATAACAGAACTGTTATATATTCAAAATATCTAGCTCTTTCTTCTTTAATGTATCTATGCTGATCATATGCTTTTTCAGTATTCTTGGTCATTGGGAATAACCAACATCGAAGTCCTTGATCTCGTAAAACAACATTCAATATGTTTTCTATTCTGATTACAAGATGTTTCCTATCATGAACCACGAAAATTCTAATAGAACATACTGGCAAAAACCATCTTTTTCTTGAAACAACACTCAAAACCTTCTATCTCAATGGCTAAGGCTGTTAAAATATTGATAATAGCAAAAAAAGTTGATTTTTCGATTGTTAGACAAAATTCAAAATTCATCCATTTGTTCTTCATTTTATTATTGTTATTGTTTCACAAGCCCAGGAAAAAACGTCTATGGATATTTTATTCAAATCTGGGCAAACCTACTAAATAAAAACTCCTGTGAAGACCACTGATTTTTGAAAGAGAAGGAGAAACTGGCAAAGTTTCTTTTCGAAGCCATTGAAGCACTGAAGCCTACAGCAACAACAGCTAGGTATACTGCGCAAACATTTATGCACAACTACTAAACAAACTCCTGCGAAGGTTGTAGGGCTATATTAAAGTTGATTCTTGAAAGTCGAGATTTCCACCCTCTAAAATTTTCTAACTTCTTCTTCGCTACCAACATAAGCTTTTCTGAGCAGCCATTCAAGCATCGCAGAAATGTAGAAGCCAATTAATCACCGTTATACTAGTCGGAAATGCTTGTTTTACACTGGTCGGAAACCTTCGTTTTATTATTGTAAAAATGTGTCTATTTATAAAAGTGTCCCCAGCCTTATTATTATTGATTATAGTTTTAAAATCCGCTACAGAAAAAAACAGCTACGAATATTTTACTGAAACCTGGACACTACTAATTAATGCAGTATTGAGTATGTCATAGGGTAGTTTTAAAATTAATTCAAGCGCCTTCGTTTTTTCGCCCTGAAACATTTCTCTAAGTCCTTCACTTTCCGCCATTGAAAAAATCCGGTGTTTTACCAATGCGCATTAATTGGAAAATAAGTTGTGCAACTTATAGCGCATTAATTGGAAACTGCCACGTTGATGATTCATTATTTCTCGAGTTCGCTGTTGTACTTTGTCTTTACATGGTTTTCTACGACTATTTCAGTAGATAATTACCATAGTAGATTTCTCTACTCTTGTGAGTGGTGATTTATTCTACTAATATTCGCACTTCGCTTGTTAAACGCGTTTTTACACGAAACCACCTGGTTCAGTAAATAATGGTCGGGTGCAAAAAAAACAAAAAAACAAACAATGCAGCAGAAAACTGTTGAAAAACATGTAACATTCAATTGAATGTATATGCACGTACGTAGCTTAGAATTTATTCTCCACAAACGGACATAAAAAACTTAAGAAATAAGATAATTAATTTTTTTTAATTTAAAAAGGGGAATAGGGATCGTCAAAAAGGACTTAAGCAAGTTGAATCAAAATGCAAAGATTATATTTTCAAGCCTACAACTAAGGAATTTAAAAAAAGTAAACAAACTAGGTTGGAAATAATGTACACATTATTTTACAAGCTACAAATCCTTATTTTGACTCCATTAAAATTGATAAGTACTGTAGACATGGAGTCAAAATAGGGATTTGTAGTTTGAGAAAATAACGTAAACACTACTTCCAGCCTAATTTGTTTACTCTTTTCAGAGTCCCTAATTGTAGGCTTGAAAATATAACCTTTACATTTTGATTCAACTTGTTTCTGTACTTTTTGACGATTTACAGTTTTTAATTATCTTGTTACATATAAACGCCAGTGTCTGTCTGTGTCAAACTCAACTTAACTATCTTTTCAACCCAATAGGGAGCGCTACAATACATTATTATTGATATTTTTTAAACTTCGGTAAGAGATTTATAAAAATTTAGTCAAAAATTTTATAAACATTTTTTATGAAATGTTATACCTTCGTGCAGATGCACTTCGTCCTCAAAATCTTTGTCTTTGCCATCACAATTAATAAATCGCAGGGTCAGACATTTGACCATGTAAGAACCTGTTTTTTCGTATGATTAAATAAATCTATAAGGCTTTATCAAGAAGCAGACTTGAACATAACATAAAAATATACATAAGTCACAATTCTAATCAAGGTCGACTTACAGTTGATGACTAAATATACATAAAAATATTGTTCTCGTGAAATACTATAAAAAATAAAAATTTTTTTTTACACATATATTGTTGCTATAATATAATTAATTATTAGAAAACATGCTCATAATATATTTTTATAAATTGAATTTTCCGAGGATAAATTATTAAGCATTTACTGTCATATGACGGGCATTCAGCTAGTATAAATATGTACACAATCATGCGAATTTCGGAAGAATGCGTTTTGTATCATTACAATAATATACATTTTACATTCCCACAAGTATGCATCTTACAGCAACTGTACGCTTTATATTCCCATTGGAAGTTGAATATTCGTATTGTTACAGCAATGCATGTTTTGTGATATCATAACAATTAACGTTCTCGGTTACACAGGAATACATATTTTGTACTCTTACGCTTTTATTAGCCTAAGTTGAATCAGTCGGAAGTATCATATTCTTAAACAGCAAATATTTAATATGACGTACTTGCATAAGTTAAGGAAATATGTTGGCATATTTGAAATACACATACTGAGACCATTTCAAATGTGTAGTGGCTACCGGAAAACTATAGTTATAACATAAGATGTTAAGTATATAGAGAACCGGAACATCTGAAGCTCAGACTGTGTACATTATGCATGTAGAGAGATAAAATATCAAATTCAAAGCAAAAGTACTTACGTAGATATAAATGTAATGCTTAGGTTTGGCATGCTATGGTAATATAACATAAAGTATAAAGTTCAAACAAAATATTAAATTCAGAATATCAGTGTTCGAACTGAAGGGGGAACAGGGGGAACGCGTTCTCATTGTTAAAATATATACAAATGTAACCCCCTTCTTAAGAAAAATCGTGGGCATAAGGGAACGTTTCGAGAATGATTTGGAGGCACGTGTTTATAACAGCCACAGTCGTACTAACACTATCGCCATCAACCATTGATAAAGCTGGTTTTTAGTTTACTGAATCTTAATTTCGATTTAATTAGTGACTGATCAATGAGGTAACTAAACTGACGGTATGTATATATGTATATATGAGAGTTAAGTTTGTTACAATTCAGGTAACTAAACTGACGGTATGTATATATGAGAGTTAAGTAGTTACA